ATCCCTTGCTTTTCTCTCCTATCCATCTCCTGTGCCCCCACCTTCGCCCTGTCTGGACGCATGATGACTTCCTCAGAGCCTCCTCTTGGATGGACGTCTGGGTCATCTGCTTTGTGCTCACACACACAGTGCTGGAAAGAACATCTTTGTACCTAGGTATTTACCTTAGGAGCGTTTCTGCAAACATATCGATTGTGTAACTTCACATTATTAGAACTGTTGTCTCAGAAGGTACATGCATTTTAGATTTTGGGCAGGTATTGCCGAATCTTCCTCCAAAGAGATTGATCAGTTCACACTTGTACTGATAGATTCTGCATAATCTCCTTAGCACTGTAGAACATCAGACTTAATTCTTAAAGCCATTCTTTGTTTCAGTTGGCATTGCTTTAATTTTGAGTGAAATTGAACTGTTTTTCACAGGTTTGTTGGCCATTCGTTTTGTGTTTGTGTTCCTTATCTTTCTTAATGAGTTATTTGGACTTGAAAATCAAGGCTATCGGTGTTTGGCTACAATAGTATCATAATATTTTTCCTGGTCTTTTGATTTTTTTTTTTTTTTTTTTTTTTTTTTTTTGCCATAGAACAAGTTGTCCTTGATTTTTTTTTCCTCATTGTGGTAAAATATACATATCATGAAGTTGACTATTTAACCATTTGTAAGTGTACAATTCAGTGGCATTAGGTATGTTCACAATGCTGTGTAGCTGTCAACACTACCGATTTCTACAACTGTTTCCTCACCTATAGCAGAAACTCTGCAATGATTAAACACTGTCACAAAGATTTTCCCCTTACGTTTTCTTCAACAACTTTTATAGTTGTAACGTGTGTAGTTAACTCCATTTGAGATACTTTTTACACGTAGACTTGTTCAGGGATGATTTCTGTCAAATATTTTTTATCGGGTGAATTGGCCCTACTTTCCTGGTTTTGCATGCTGTTGAGTTTTTGGTTGAAAAGTAGATATGCTAGGCATTGTAATGGGGCAACTTTGGTGGAAATCAGATTCTCCCACTTCCCAGAGATTGCTGACGTGGGCTTGTGCAGACTGGAGCCATCCAAGTGTGCCTTTTCCAAAGTGATGGCCTTGAAGTGTGTATTCTTCATCGTGTGTGGTGACTGAAGCTTCAGTTCCCTTGTCTTTGCAGTCAACTGAGAATGGCAGCCTCTCTAGTGCTATTCTTTTATTTTTTCTTTATTTTTTTATTTTTTCAAGACAGAGTTTCGCTCTGTTGCCCAGGCTGGAGTGCAGTGGCACAATCTTGGCTCACTGCAACTTCTGCCTCCCGGGTTCAACCAATTCTCCTGCCTCAGCCTCCTGAGTAGCTGAGATTATAGGCATGTGCCACCACACCCAGCTAATTTTTGTATTTTTAGTAGAGACAGGGTTTCACCATGTTGGCCAGGCTGGTCTCGAACTCCTGACCTCAGGTGATCTGCCCACCTCAGCCTCCCAAAGTGCTAGGATTACAGGAGTGAGCCACCGTGCCCAGCCTCTAGCACTATTGTTACGCCAGTCCTAGCTTTTATAAGTGTCTGATCTGCTTCCAGAGAGCTGAAATACTTGCTTCCAGTCCCCCTCCAGCTTGATGGCAGTCTTGATGGAGACCCAACCAGAGAGCTTGCTACGCCGCCGTTGTGCACGGCAACCCCTCTGGTTTTGTATTCTTTAAGTCTATTAAATTTATACATACTTTTATTTATGAGTCTGAATCGTAATTAGGAAAGCTATGCCCATGTTGAAACTATTCAAAACAAACCAATGTTTAAAACCCTAAAAAATTATCAATATTATACACATGTACTTTAAATAATATGCATGTAATTGTATGACTTCATTTTTTAAGTTTTAAGAAATGTGGATGTTTCCCCCGTGGCCTCCCTGGGTACATTCTGGTGTGGGTGGAGGAGAGGTGCTGCTCCCAGGCCTTCTTCCAGTCAGAGCTGGAATGTTCCCTCCCCTGGACACAGCAGGCAGGAGGCACACCTTGGAAGATTTCAAACACCATGAGGTGCAGAAAGGCAGTCAGGCGGAGGGTCCGGGGGAGCTGAGAGAGCCTCTGTGAGGCCCCGGAGCCTCTGGATGAGACAACCAGAAGGCCCAGTGACCCAGGTGGGAATGACCAGGAGGCACCAGGGAGAAGCCAGAGCACCAGGGAGGGAAAACCAGGAGGGCACAGTGACAGCCCAGGACCCAGGGCCCCAGGGGGAGAGGACTCGGGGACACAGGAGAGGTGTCCTGCATTTCCTTGGAGGGTGTTGGGTGCAGAGGCTGAGGCAGGGAGCAGGGTGTGTTCTGATCTTTCACCCAGGCTGGAGTGCAGTGGCACAATCTCAGCTCACTGCATCCTCTGCTTTGTGTTTTCAAGCGATTCTCCTGCCTCAGCCTCCTGACTATCTGGAATTACAGGCATCTGCCACCACGCCCGGCTAATTTTTGTATTTTTAGTAGAAACGGGGTTTCACCATGTTGGCCAGGCTGGTCTCGAACTCCTGACCTTGTGATCCAACCACCTCGGCCTCCCAAAGTGCTTGGATTACCGACGTGAGCCATTGTGCCTGGCCAGTGTCCTCAGTTTGAATGGGCAGAGCAGTTCCCACAGTCAGGAAGTAGGAATGCCTGCAGGTGGCCCGGCATGGTGGCTCATGCCTGTGATCCCAGCATTATGGAAGGTCGAGGGAGGTGAATCACTTGGGGTCAGGAGTTCTAGACCAACCTGGTCAATATGGTAAAACCCTGTCTCTACTAAAAACGAGAAAATTAGCCTGGTGTGGTGGCAGGTACCTATGATTCCAGCTGCTTCGGAGGCTGAGGCAGGAGAATTGCTTGAGCCCGGGAAGCAGAGGTTGCAGTGAGCTGCGATTGCACCACTACACTCCAGCCTAGGTGACAGACTGAACATGGAGAGCCCCTGAGTGTGGGTCTGGGGGAGGGGCTGCTGGGGGCCACCCCTCCCTGGGGCGGTGGCCATGGAGGTGGCCCCAGTCTCGCGGTTTCCTCTCAAGAACATGACATAGAAGTGCTTACCACAGGCCCTCATCCTGAAGCTGGGCAGGGCGAGACTCCGTCTCAGAAAAAAACAGAAATGCCTGGAAGTGCTGGGCTTGGCACGAGTGAAGCTTGGGAAGCAGGGAGCATAAACTGTGTCTTTTGGGGTCCTGGCCTGGAGGGCTGTGTTGGGCTGTGGAGCACATGCAGAAGGCAGCCAGAGAGGAGGAAGTGGATACCCTCCAATGTCCTCTCTTCCCTTCCATGGCCCCCCGGTTGTCATCAATGGTCTTGGCTCCAGACCAGTGGCTCTCAACTGGGAAGGACAAATTTACCCCTGTGGACATTTGGGAAGTTCTGGAGGCATTTTCATTAGCATGGTGGGAGTGGGGCAGGGATCAGGAGGCTAAGAGACACCTGCGGGGTGCAGGGCGGCCTCCAGGGCAGAGGAATCCAGCCCTGGAGTCAGGGCTGCCAGGTTCAGAACCAGGAGCTGCTGAAAAGTCAGGAAGCTCCGCCTGGGCTGTGGCTCCTCCGCCCTCCCAGGGCCAAGTTCTGCTCGTCCCCTACTCTGCACTGCCCACGGGAATTCCTTCCCCCAAGGCCTGCATCCTTTCAGAAGGGTGGAACATCCACACAGGGTGTGCATGATGGACACTGCAGCCTTGCTGGAAGGTGCAGGGCAGACATGTCGTACCCCGGTCCTTCTAAAGCAGCCTCCGTGGTCCTGTGGCTTATGTGGGCAGGGGCGACCATGAGCTGCCTGGGAAGCTCAGGTGGCAGAGGCCCCCAAGGATGATGCAGCATGACTGCGGCAAACCGGGGCTTCCAGAGCCTGACCCTCTCCTCTTAGCACGGGCCCCACACTGCACATTGAAAACAAGCCTGTAAATAGATTTGAACGGTGAGCTGGTAACAGAGCTATTATTGGGATTCTAAAAACAGGCGTAGGGAGAATTGTAGGGTTTTATGGAAAGAAAATGTGCAGAGACCCCTGCAGTTGTTGAAATTGATGTCTTTTCTCATCAACTCTGCGCTCGTCCTAAGCTGAGCGCTGTTTTCACTGCAGACCCTCCCAGGAAGGAAGTGTAGGCTCAGCAGTCACTGGGAAGGTGGCCCAAGGCTGGCTGGGAAGATGGTGGGACGCTCTGCCCAGCCCAGCCCAGACTAGTTCAGCCCAGCCCAGCCCAGCTCAGTTGGCCACCCAAACTGGGAGGGGCAGAACGAGCCAGAGGTAGACACAGAATGAGAAGCAGGTGGGAGACTGTTGTGATGCTCTGCGCGTGTGGAAGTCACTCCGCCTGTCAGGGAAGAAGCGATGACACTCCAGACCATCTGCACGATCATCCTTCCTCTTCCCTCCTGGAGACCCATAGGAAACACCAAAGCACCTTTTTACTTTTTCATTCCAAAAGCTCATCAAACATTTACAGGGCTGACCGCCTCAGAATGGAAATAGGGGACCATGTCTTCATCTACTTCTTGGAAGTAGATGGGCGTCCATAGTGAGGCATGGCTGCACGCAGGGTAGGGGAATCTCGTTATCTGTTGTAGTGGATGGAGAGGAGCTAAGCGTGGGCCTGTTGGAGGTGCTGCTGGGGGCCACCCTTCCCTGGGGCAGAGGCCACAGAAGTGGCCCCGGTCTCATGGTTCCCTCTCAAGAACATGACATAGCTTTGCTCATCCTGGGCCCTTGCCCTGAGGCTGAGCAGAGGTCCACCTGTAATTCTCCACCCTCCAGCCCCTCTGGAAGGCCTAGCACCTGCTAAACAGACAGTATCTAAAGAGAACCACTCTGCAGATCAGCACAGTCAGATTTCTGTTCCGCTGAAATGTAAAAGTTTGTGTGCCGAGAGGAAACTCGTTGTAGGATTTCACATCAATCTTTAAGAGAAGCCTGTTGTCTTAATATCTAGATAAGTCTGCTTGAAAGTGAGTGTCACCCGGTGGTTGTGCCAAAGCCCTGAGCACTGACAACTCTAACCCTGTTCATCTGATTTTCTTTCAGCTGACAACAGCGATGGGTCCAGTTCTGAAGACGGCAGGGAAGATCCAGATGTGAAAACCAAGAGGAACCGGTAGGTGGCCGTTCCCTTCTCCAGCGGGTCCTTCCCTACTGGGTGCTCAGGTGATGTAGAAAGAAAAGGCATCATTTTGACCACATTGACTGTGAGCAAAGAGCTAATTCAACTGCTGGACAGATGGTAAGAGGTCTCAGGCTCTGTCTTAGCAGTGTCCTGGGCACCTGCTGAAGCAGGTAGCTCAGAGGCTTGGGGCACTTCAGACACTGTACACAGGGCCTGCCACCCCCAGCCTACCCAGGCGCCCACATGCTCAGCCCTGCTGTGTTTCCAGAGTCCTGCAGAAGTGGTCATGGGGGCCAAGTGCGTAGGTGGTGCCATGTGCTGTGTCAGAGGTTAAGTTTAGGGGTCAGGCAGCCCTGGCTTGGTGCTGTAGCTCTATGTCTTGCCTGCTTGATGACTTTGGGCAAAGTCAGCCAACCCTGATCTCAGATTTCTCATATGTAAGATGAGGCTTTGCAGAGACCCCAGTGGGCCTTGGGACAGCTGGATGAGATGATGCCTGCGTGCCTGCAGGGTGCACACGTCCAGTGGGTCTCCCTCTAAGTCGGCTAGTCACAGTTTGGTTTTGGGAGTTGCCATGCACTGAGGTAGGGAATCCCTGTTTTCCATCAAGCCAGAGGATGGCTCCTGCCCTTTAACCCCTCCTGTGTGGCTGCTGGTCTGCCCTGCCTTGCCTGTGAGTTTCACATAAGGGGATGAATGTGGAAGTGTGTTCCCCCCCAGAACAGGGAGATGCAAGGAATGCTGTGGTTGCTGGGCCCCATGTTTGGCAGAGAAGGGTGGGGAGGACTCTGAAAGGCAAATCAATGAGGGGCGCTTCCAAGGCTCTTCCTGAGCTGGGCTGTTATTGGCCCCATGATGCCCAGACATTCCACTGGACCCTGCGTCCTGCCACGGCCCACAGGTGCGTTCATCCTGCACCAGGCTCCTGTACCAGCCCTGCTCATGGGATACCCTAGGCCTGCAACAGGAACCCAAATGAAGTGGTCAGGAATCTTAGCACTATATGCGTTTTCTCTTTTAAAAAATGTACTTTTGCAGTAAAAATATTTGCCACAATGAAGGTAAAACAAAACCTTGACTCAGAGCCTGTGCCCATTCTCACCTTTTCAGTCCTTTCAATTTTTTAGCAAAGGATGAAAGGATGGTAAGGAAGAGAGGGGAAGAGGGAGCAAGAGCTGGGCTTGGGGGTACCTAGCAGGCCCAGCAGCCAGGGGGTCAGGGCGAGCTCTTCTGTCTGCTGGGTGCCCATGGAGCCATGGACAAAACACATAGAACTAGACCTGAGTGGTTCAATAGTAAGCAGGCACCACAGAACTTTCAGGAACAATGCGAAGAAGAATAACAGTGTCTTCCCTAAGCCAGGGAGGTGATCAGGTAGGAGGTGGAGCTCTCCTCCCCCAGGGGTCCTGCCACCGGGCCCCACAGCACGTGGAAGCCTGTGAACCACTATGTGGGGAGGTCTAGGGCCGCACGTGGCAGGGCCGGGGCTCACTGGCTGTGGAGGGAGGACGCCTCCTCCTCAAAATCTCCTGGGCAGTTGTCTTCTTGCTACCCCAAATCTCCTCCTCAGAAAGTCACTTTTGGGGGCCAAAGGATGTTGTGTGGGCCACAGGGGATGGACAAGGAGCACCTCTGATGGGGGCCAAGGGTTCTGGGAAAGGTCCCAGTGCAGCGTCTGATTTCACCATCACACGTGGACCTCAGCTAAACTGGTCTCCATTGGTCTTTGGGTATGTGTGCTTAATTTAAAACACAAGACGAGCTTCCTGAGGCACAGGAAACATGGTATGTGGCCATGAGTTGATGAATTTTGAACTTGTGTGGGCAGAAAAGCATGGCGGGATCCGAAGCAGTTGGGCTGTCCTCCTCCTCACCCGGCTGCACTTCCCGTCCGGTGGGTCTGGCCTCGGTTCCCAACAGTTGGCATTCAACAACATCGAAACGCTAATTTTGGTTTTAATCATCCGAATGATTTCCGTCATTGAAAACCGACTTTGAAACACGCACAGAGGTTTTGCGTGGAGCTGCCTCCGTTTTGGCAGCTGCTCATTTCCACGTTGGTTCCAGCCTTGAAGATTCCATGGGAGAAGGAGACTCTCTCCCATGGGAGGCTGTGGCCCGCTCTGAGATATGGGAGGAAAATGCTTTGGTGTTCATTTTGCAGCCAGCCCAAGGACTGAGCACGCCCATCCCATCCTGGGCATTCGTTCATAGATTGGTTTACAAAGCCACGCCCTCTGTTTGGAAGCGTCACCATTGGGCAGGTTTTCCCAAAGCTCTTCCGAAGCACCAACCTGCACGCCCCCGGTTCAGAGCGAATCGCCCCAGGCCAGGTGAACCACCAGCATCACCATGGCATTTTGATCCCTCTTTGGGAAGGTTAGGGTCAATCAGTCCACGTACTCCTCAAGCTTTTATGTATTTCTATGTTGTAGAATCTGGCCCGTATAGTTAGAGAACATGCCTCCAGGCGGCCTGCTGAAATCTGGCCATTTGGACCTGCCCTTTTTGTGAGGATAGCATAATTTTGCCTCATCAAAGAACACTAAAATTCTCCCGCAACGTGTGGTTCATCAGCAGTCAGATTATGATGTTTAAGAAACAAGCAAATAAGCTGAGATGATGATTGTTTTGGACACCGATCTCTACTCCCCACATTTCCTGTGAACCCTGGCACAATCGATACACATTTTGGGCATTCATGCCCAGATGGAATTAAATCGATTGTGAAAGTGATTCAGGTCCACATGAAACTTTTCCTGAAATTCTCTCGGAGGAGAAATATGTCACAATGACAAGCATTCAAATTACTGAAATATTCTAATCTACATGGTGAGTGTCATTTCAAATAGCTTGTTATTTACTATTTAGACGGATGTGTTCGCAATGACCATGCATCTTCCCTGGGACTAGAAAATAGACTCATGACTGCTCGGCCCCTTTCTGCTCAGGGCCTGGAGGTGCTGCCAGTTTCTGATGAACGGGTCTTTTCATAGTTCAGACCTGCTTTGATCTTTGATCTTCTGGCTTTATAACTCTCCCTTTCAAATGGGCTCTGGGGAGCATCCCATCCGCAGTCCCCTTCTATCCCTCTGACCTCACGTGTACAGGGTGGTGGTCTCTGCTGAGTGGTATCGCTGCAATTGTCTCCCAACATCCCCCAAGAATGAGAGCCTGAGCATCAGAAACCTGGACACCACGGCTCGAATCACACCTGTGATTTCTGGAATGGCTGCGGTGTTTTGAAGTGGAAATATATTTTCTCGAGTCAACAGATTGTTTTGTGTGGCTGTGGCTGCGGGCTTATGAAATGCACAGTGTAGCTTGCATGAGTGCTCATGGGAATGCCCCACCGATTTGCTTCCCTCCAGAGGGTGGGTGTGTTTTCAGTACTCTTTTCATATAATTCAGTTACCCCGTATTTATGACGTGATTAGGGTTTGCCAGGGGGTTGATGCCTATCTCTGCAGGGATCCAGAGATCACCGAGTGAGTGGGGGAATCAGTTTCCCCCAAAACTCAGTACTTTCTTCACAAGGCTGATTGTCAAATATTTGGCTCGCTCTGTCACCACTTGGATGTATAAATTTATCAAAATCGCAGGTAGTTTCCTCTCCCGTGAGAGAGAACGTATTTGTTCTGTATTATGAGAAATGACAGTTTAACTCTTCAGTGTGGTCATCACTTCTGTGGTAAGAAATGCTCAACTTGAACGAGGAGGAAGAGAGGGTCAGAGCAGATCACAGGATGACAGGCAGAGGGACACGGGGGCATGGGCCCTGAGGGGACAGCCAGGGTGGGAGAAGCCAAAGAGAAAATGGTTATGTGAGGGGGACATGGGTGACACGGTTTGCCTCTGGCTGTCCACCCAACCCTCATCTGGAATTGTAATCCCCATGTGCTGTGGTCTGGCTGTGTCTCCACCCAAATCTCACCTTGAATTGTAGCTCCCGTGATTCCCACGTGTCAGGAGAAGAACCCAGTGGGAGGTCATTGAATCACCAGGGCAGGTCGTTCCCTGGCTGTTCTCGTGATAGTGACTAAATCTCACGAGATCTGATAGTTTTATAAAGGAGAGTTCCCACGCGCACACTCTCTCTTGCCTGCCGCCGTGTAAGATGCGTCTTTCGTCTTCCACCGTGATTGTGAGGCCTCCCCAGACACGTGGAACAGTGAGTCCATTCAACCTCTTTTTCTTTATAAATTACCCAGTCTCAGGTATGTCTTTCTCAGCAGCGTGAAAGCGGACTAATACAGCATATGTCAGGGAAGGGGACTTGTGGGAGGCAATGGGATCATGGGGGCAGTTTCCTGCATGGTTTTCTCATGATAGTGCGTGAGTTCTCACAAGATTTGGGGGTTTAAAAGTTTGTAGAAATCTCCCCCAACTGCATTCTCTCTCCTGCCACCATGGAAGACAGGACTTGCTTCTTCTTCAACTTCCGCCAAGATTGAAAGTTTCCTGAGGTCTCCCGAACCGTGCGCAACTGTGAGTCACTTAAACCTCCTTTCTTGGTGAATTACCCAGTCTCAGGTGGTACTTTATAGCAGTGTGAGAATGGACTAATACAACAGGTTAGGTCAGTTCAAAAGATCCCAGGAGACAGAGTGATTTCCATCAAAGCCAAACAGTTCTATTGTGATAGGAGAGACAGATGGCGTAAGATGGCCCACTGTGTGCTTAGCTGCCTGACACTGGGTTGAAAAGACTCAACAAATATATGAAAAAACAAATATACTCAATTTAAGAGTAATAGTTATTTTACCTACTTTTAACTTTTTATTATGGAAAAGTTCCACATAAAAGTTGGAACAACACAGTTCACCTCCATGCATTCATTTCCCAGCATCAACTCAAGGCCAGCGTTTTTCTGCTTTAGTCCATGCCCCTCTAGATAAGTTTGAAACAAACTCCCAACATCATATAAATCTTATTTGTAAATATTCTATAATACTAAAATACAGGGATATTAAAAATATAAGCATGGTAAC